GAAGATATCAGGTGAGAGTTTCAGTGAACAAGTGCAGCCCTGTATTACCTGCATCAGTCCAAAAGGCACAGGGATCACCTCAGGGCCTCACCCCACATCCTCCTGCCCCAGCCAGGGAGTAGGGCAGGCTCTGAGGAACTGACACAAGGCAGCAGCTCATAGCTAAAACCTGAGGCTCTTATCTCTCTTCAAGTCGTGGTGCTTATCTGATGACAAATAAACTTCGGTTTGTAATGAAACAAGCAGCTCCTTCAGTGAAAGGGGAAAGGCACAACCCCAGCAGTGTGACATTAGATACTTTAAGCATGTCTGGTTAAGGGTCTTAAATTCTCTCTCTGTGGCCTTTCTAATTATATTTATACTTTCACTTGACACTGGGTGGCAGCAGCTCTATGAACACACTACTCAGCAATCCATTTCCTTCTCCTTTTCCTCCTCCTCCTCCTTCAATATTTTCACGGTTCAAGTACCAGAGCAATAAATTGGAAGTGCGTATCACTTTTTGACATTTCTATATATACTTATGCAGAATAATTAACAAGTTAGCTGTTGTCTTTCTTTCCTCTTAAAAAAGAGGAGAAAAGTTCATTTTCATAAAATTTCTGGCTCACGTGTTCCTTGAGGTGGTGAGGGGACTGAAAATGCCACTTCTCGTTTGACTTTTGCCTTGACTGCCTGATTGGCACACCCACAGTATTTCCCTTTCAAGCTGGTTTGTTTCCAGATCTTCTGCTTTCCCTGTTGCACTTCTTGGCTGCAAATAATGTGGGGTGTTTTGGAGGTTTTTTGTTTGGATGGTTTGTTTTTTTTATGCTGTACATCTATACATCAAATGCAAACAGCAGGTTTTAGGTTTTAGGCAGAAGGAACTTGAAAAATCATTAAGCCATTTTTTGGCCAGGGTGGGCTCATATCTGCAAACCTTCTCTAGGGGAAAGGGCCAGGAGAAAAGAAAAATCTATTTGCAAAACAGGTTAAAAAGAGTTAAAAACTGGAAGACAAAAGCTGTGCTTTTCTCCTGGCTGGGAAGACAGGCAGTTGCAGACAACAAAACACTTTTCACTGCTGTGTCATGGTAATGAAAAAGAGCCCAAGTCTCAGGTGTGGGGCCCTGTGGACTCCTGCCTTGGCTTTAAGGACAGCCAGAAGTAGTGATGTGCATAGGCTCACTGTAAAATAGGATTCGTTTTCTAATCCAGTGGTCACTCCTGGGCCTGGTGTCATTAGGACACGTCGGAGATGCCACCTGCTAAGGTGGAAACAGGCTTGGATTTTTGGTAGGCATCAGGCCCTGCATACAAAACCAGATGCAGCAGTTTCCTACAGTTGTCTTGTAACAGCTGCTCAAATAAATCCATGGTTTATAAAATTCAGTGTGACAATGCCTATTGGTAAGATTCTCACAAGCTCAACCAATAAACCCAACTGAATCTAATCAATTTGTAGCGAGCTCATTGCAAAATAGATTTTAGAGAGCTTGACATGGAGCCACAGCACATCAGGAGTCACAATGAGCTCACGTTTGGGAATTCTGCCAAAGGATGCACCTGACCCCTGAGTTAAATCCTGCTGCTGTCTTGCTGCTATCCCCAAGACAGACAGCTGGGCAGTATTTATGTGGCAAACAACAGCTAATGGGTTTACAAGAAAATAATTACCCACCTTTTCCGTGCCTGCTGTGCAGCTCAGTTTGCTTTGAACTTGTAACTCCGTGTCTGGCACCGTCTTGCACACGATGTACAGAAGAACCAAGCCCTCATCTCTCACCTTTGATTACAAGAACAGCACCACAACCATGGGAACCACATCCCTGAACATGGACATGCAGCCACTTCAGTGGTGAGAAATACAACTGAGAAACAAATTTCTGTACTGGGCATATTCTTGTGTGCATGTTGATTTACCCCTACTGGTTTAGCCCTGCATCAAGATGTAAAGAAATCAATCAGAAATAGTCAGATCCATGCCAGGAAACAAAACAACTGTGCAACATTCAGGCACAAGGAACTTAAGAGAGAAAGAGTGGCAGTCTTGTGCTGCCTTGCAAAAAGGGGGAAGGGAGGAAGAATTCACGACAGTGTGCTACATTACAGTTGGAAAGGCTGGTTTTAATTTTCTCATATTTCGCACATTTTCTACAATTCTGAGGAAGCCAAATTGTCAAACTGTCAAAAGTGTCAAAACCCAAAGTAACACACAGCTCTCTAGAGGGACTTCAAAATCATCAAGGGACTTAAATCTCTCAGGACTCCGTCAGACAAAGATAAAAATTCTTCTTGCCACTACACCACATCCTCTCACTCTGCTGCTGTTCCTGCCTCTCTGAAGTGCTTGCCTGCATCACCACTCTGATCTGGTAGCTGGGGGAAGGCACTTTCATCTCACCAGCCCTGGCTACCTGTTCCCTCACCTCTGTTCTCTGTCAGGAACAATCTTCATCCCTCCTGCCTCCTAAGGCAGGGTCTCTTGTGGCAGAAGTGCAGGGAAAAAAGCACAGCCACAGCTGAGTTTCTGGGGGAGCCACACCATAAAAGCAAAGCTGACAGGACAGAAAGGCAAAGCACAGATAAGAACACCAGTGGCAGAACTCAGACAATTACTAACATATCCACAACGTGCCCAAAACCTGTCAAAATGTCAAAATCCGTTATTCAATGACTTGAAATTAGGAAATACAGCAATAAGCATAATCTGATCATCATCCTAATTGTCCATTCAATTCTCCCATGATCTCCTGCACTGTGACACTACTTGAGCTTGACTCACTTATTCTTGTTTTGCATCAGCATAACTCCAGTGGTGTTGAGCTGAAGTACATCTGTCTGTCAAAGACAGATGGTGTGAGATCAAGTAATATTTAGTCTCTACTGTATCAGCTTCTGCTTGTTTCTGGAAAACTTCCCCTCAGTCGGCTGCATAAAAACCAGAACTAAAATTAATTGAATGTACATGGGTACTCTACATAAGTACAAAATAATCTGTGACCTCATTTATTGCAGCTTCTCATACATTCATTTTCTCAGCATCCACTAGGAAAAGCAAAATCTGAGTGGGAGACATGCTGCAAGAAATGATATCTGTGGCTTTCTCTCCAGGCTAGTCTTTTCTGCCTCAGTCTCTTCTGAATCACTTAGACAAAAAATATAAATCCATTCTATGAATCTGGACTGCTATATGGAATGTGCTTGTAAAAAATTAACGTTCTTCTTATTACATTGTAAGCTTACTTTATTTGCACACAAATAAACAAGCTAACTTAAACTTTATAAAAGAAATATATCCCACAGCTGCACAGACTTAATGCTAACTGCACTAAACTTATCATACAGGTATTTTTTCACTTTAAAAACATATATATATATATCCCATTAATATTTTATATATATATAAGGAAACTACATATAAATACAATGGAAAAATACATTCAAAAGCTTTTTATAAAACTTGTCACAATATTATTTTGACTGTAATAAAAATATTTATGAGAGAAAGACACATGCACAGAGAAACACAAATGGCTTATGTTTAGCTTCATCTAAATCCCAAAAATAAAATTTAATCTTTGGTATTACTAAATAAAGTTAAGTTGAAACCATCTACAGCTTACAGCCTCTGCTCCAACCTCTCTGATTCCACTTTGCACAGATTCTGCTGGCTGCAAGTTTCCATAATAATTTGCAAACAGGCAGAGAAAAAAAAACAGCTAAATGTGTAGTGTCTTCTTTCAAGGGCTCCATCCAACCTTCACTGAATTCGATGGAAAATATTATATTGCCTTATTCGGGCTGAAGGCTATAAAAAATATTTAAATTGATTTGCTGTCAAAGCGATGGTCATCCACCAGTGAAAAATAATTATAACCATGGAACAAACCATGGAACTGCCCCTGTGGCATTCCCTCCCTCATTTTCCCCTTCCCAGTGGGAAAAGTCATGACCAGCAGCTACGGAGATGATCCAGCAGCCGTGGGGTAACTAAACCCTGAGCACACAGTACAAGTTACCCAGGAGGTTTTCCATCCAGTGTGTGAAATGTAGTAATGCTGCAGCAGCTTCAGTATGGAAATTTAGATTGGACTTGGTCTCAGCAGGAGCTGAAATAAATCCAAGCAGTGGCTGCAGATGCTTTCATCCCATAAACCCAGCATGAGACCCAGGAACATCCCTATTTCAACAGCAGTTGGGGTTCATAACACAGAGCAGCAGAATTTTTCTGTATAAGCCACGAATGCACAACATCCATCTACATTTTTTCCCTGCAAGGTAAAAGCTTTTTGTCCATTTTATCTTCACACTACAGAAAAGCAAAACATTTAAAGAAAGGCACCTGGCTCTTTGAAGCAGTAAGGGAAATGCACAGCACAGTCTGATTCTCTAGGCAACTTCTATTATGGATATACCTTTTTGTTTGACCAGTCTCACATATCCAACCTGGTGCAAAACTAAACTGACAGAGAGGCAGCTTACACAGTGATACCCTTTTGTCTATAGCTAAATCAAATCAACCTTTTAGTAAAAATCTCTTTTCCACACATTTCTGGATCAATGCCATACAGGACATTTTGGGGGGAAAGCAAAACAGAGCAGAGAAAAAGAAAAATAAGTGCCTATAGTTTTAACTACTGACAAATGACACAACTGTTGGCTTCTGATACCCAAACTCTCCACCCAAAAAAAGATGTATGGTAACCTTGTTAATATCAAAATTGTAGCTAGTGATATTTTTTGGTGGAAAAACCATAGATCTGATCAATGGTATCTGAAAATGTTCGTAGAGACACTGTGTATCAAAAAAGAAATTCAAGTTACAGCTGCTGACTGAATGCATGCCCTTGTTATAAAATGCACAGATTTGAGGGGATTATCCAAACAAGTTCTGGCTCTGTACTGTCTTCTATTCTTCAAGGAGTGCTGCATAATTTGTGTAACTTCATTTTAAGCAAGAAACAAGATAGAACTGATGCCTGTGAGTCATTATAAATGTGCCAGAAGGAAAAATGATCAGAAATCCTTGTCCCAGCCTGAAAGTTCATCTGGAGGGCTTCCCACTTCAGGTGGATAGCTGTCAAAGTAGCTGTAATCAGTCGGCCCAGACAACTAGGACATTGAAAACACAAACAAAAGGGTGTTTCAGAAAGTACCTTTTGAAAATGTTCTCTATGGATTATGCATCATTTTTGTTGCTCCCAACATGGAAATGAAAGGCTAATATGATATAGGTGATGTCTTTCAACGGATGCAATTCCTCATTCTTTAAAAGAAATACCTCCAGTAATTACACTGTACAACAGAACAGTGGCATTAGCCTTCTTGTAAAAAAGGACTTGCCAAATATAATAAAATATTTGGTTTCACTCAAAGCCCTGTTAATTCAGGCAGAAAACTGAACCACACTGTACGATTTGGATTATATTTAAGACCAAATCTATACTCCTTGGGTAGCTACCCAAAGCAGACCTCAGAATTACTTTTTGTTTTGAATTAAGATCAAAGTGAGTTTCAAATGCTTTACACTAATCTTAGGGCAAAAACAAATAGGCCATTTAAAACTGGGAGCTTACTCAAGGATGTGCTGGAACTCAATAGTAGAACACAGGAATTCGTACTCTTCACAGTAATATGAACAGTGCATCTTAATAATGTGCCCATTACCAAGGGAGATATATTTTTTCAATATTAGTTTCTGACCAAACACCATTTGTTCTGGTAATGGTGAAAATATATTGCAAAGTAAACAGGCAGAATAATATTTCCATTACTTGACTGATTCTAAGTTATGTATTGCTTGCTGTCTCTCTCTCTCTTCTGTTCAATTTTCACAGAAAATGTTGAACTGTAATCATTCAATGCATCTTTGGGAAATTTTGCTATCTTTATCAGTTCTCCTTCATAGCCAAGCTGTGTTAGTAAAGCATTATGATACTGAAAGCCAAAGATAATACCTCTCTTTTCAAAGGTGATGTTAATTTCCTCACTTTCAGACTATCCCAGTTAAAACCACTCAACCACCTGATTAAAAAGAGGTGAAAGACAGTGAGAGACCAAAAGAGAAAGACAGGTTTTTTTCTGACATTATACCACAAAGAGCTGAAAATCACTTGAACAAGGGCCATAAGAAGCTTTTTTTCATGCCAACTCTTGTTACAACACAGTTAGAAGGAGGAATTTAAAGCATCAGAGGCAGGGGCAGCTTCAGGACCACCAGGCACTTTGGCACTTCTGCAGGGAGGAGGTGCAGAAGAGACAGGCAGGTTAATACAGGCAGAAATGCAGCCATGCAGAGACTCGTGTGTCTCCTTGGAATGCCACCCTTTTTACAGCACAAGAAGAGGGAGACAAGCAGAAAAATCAAAGAACTGCTTTCCCCAAGCACAAAGTGCAGGGCTTAGAAACAACTCAGATAAAAAGAGAAAGCAGAAAATGTGTAATTTACAGAGGGCTTTCTTCGGTTAGAAGAAAGACTTGCACTAGAAAAATGAATTGCAATAAAGACTTTCTTTGTTATAAGAAAGAGGACAAAACCCTAAAATTATTGCTCTGGAGGTATTTACTACTCATTCTTATAAAGTAAATGTTGAAGGGTCACAGGTCTGAGAGGCAGATGCTGAATGAGCATTGATTTCCTTGAGAGTTAAATTAAACTCCTACATCAACAACCTGCAGTAAAACCACAAAAAATAAGATTTCTAGATAATAATGCTGAGGACTTATGTTCATATTGTTTGCTATAGTTGCAAAAATACTCAAGAGCAACAGAGGTATCTATAGTTTACCAGTCTGGATTCTAACATGTTAAAAATATTTCAAATTAAACCCCAAATTTTCTTCTCAGAAGTCTCATTTGCTTACCTGTGCTTCTTGATGTCATTTATTCCATTCCTCAAATTGCCTAATCTTTCTGTAGGGTTTTGCCTTAAAAAAAGAAAGAAAAAGAAAAAGAATAAGGATAAGAATATATAAAATATCCCTATTTTTAAAAGAGCATTTGTAGGTCCTAACTCTTTGCATTTAACAGTTGCACAGGGATGCAGCTTGCATAAAACATGTGGCCTCATGAGATATAATAAGGTGTTGCTCACTGCTCCTTTTTTCTAAGGATGGAGAAACCTTCTAGAAAGCTAAAACAACATCACTCAGCTGTGAGAAGCAGCACAGGGAAATCAGCTGGCTGAGTTTCATCTGTATATCATTTTTTTTTCCTGGCCAGCAGGTCTGAGTTACAAAAGGAGGCAGATCAAAGTTTACAGCTACAAAGATCCTTCTAGTTGTGGTACACAAGAATGTTGAATACTGTTCCTGCTGCCATGGATGAAATCTCACAGGAGCTGGGAATCCAAAGTCAGTATCACCAGCCAGAGGTTGTGCAGGCCACCAAGTTAGGCTGGCCCTTTTGATATATATTTTGATACATTTCTAAAGGACTTAAGCCAGTCTTTAAGTGCCCTATGTTTTCTGTAGAATCTATATGCCTAAATAAATTTGGAACTTTTTTTTGTTTTTATAAACAATGTGCTTGATTTGAAAATCAAATTCCTTAGCCCTTTCCTCAGCCCCCACTTAATAAATTTTCCCAAAGATGTGTTTCAGAAAAAATGATCAGCTATAGAAAAAGCCCAGAGCCTCTGCTGCCTCTGCAGACTCAGAGGTGTGACACATACGGGGCATGCAATGCATACTAAATATAATCACAATGGATCAGACCATGCATAACAATTCCAAATGAAGTTGTCAGGAATTCAGTGCTGGAGTCTGAGTCCTAAAAGAGCTCAGCCTATTTACACTCAGGCTTTGCCCCAAACTGCCCCTCCTACCTGCAGAGTCTGCGGATCAAATCCTCAGGTCGCCTTGTTATTGTTTTAGGAAAATCCAGCTTTTCAATGCCTTTGAGAATCAAATTATATGTCATCATTTGATCAGCCCCAGAAAATGGTGGGCTAGAAAAAGAAAGCAACACTGATAAGTGGAACATCTGGCAAGAGCAGATGTTGCCAGTACTTACCTAAGCAAACATTTGAGAATATAGAAAAAAATATGGAAAAAAAGCCCACCTTCCTATTTTTACAACCCTCACCCTTTTCAGCCTGTTTAAGATAATGAAAAGGCTTGAAGCTGAGAAGGTACCAGGCAAAATGCATGACCACATGTGTCCCTCTAAGCCTAACTCAGAGAAGCTTCCACATTGTATTGCCACTGAGCATTCCCAAAGAGTTGTCATGGAAGTGTGCAGGGAGCTAAAGAGAGAGCCCCGATTACAGATCACCCACCCCACTGCCCCATCACCCACTGACAGGGAAGAGAACAGTCTGTTGTCACTTGTTCCTCACAGGAAACATCAGCAGCAGCTGCAGGAGCCCTACACCTGCCAATTATAACTTGTGTCTGGATAAGCCAGAACTGAGAATTTGTAACCCACTTGGTCTGTGACCTTTCTGAAATGATAGAAGACATGCATAAAGAAGTATCATTTTGCAAAGCTGTCTAAAAAATACCTCGGAAAGGTTTCTAAAAACAAACAAAGTAGATAAGAACTTTGAGTAGGAGGCACTTACCTGCCAGTGAGGAGTTCATACACAAGAATCCCAAGGGACCAAAAATCCACGCTGAAATCATGGCCTTTACTCAGGATGACTTCAGGGGCAACGTACTCAGGGGTTCCACAAAACGTCCAGGTTTTCTGCCCTGATCCAATCTTCTTTGCAAATCCAAAATCAACCTGATCAAAATCAACATATGCTGCACAATGCAGAGCAGTTTTGCACTGGGAAGCCTTAAGGTCTTAATTGCTTCCTCACCTCCTGCAAAGATCCCAGGATGCTAGTTTACAGCTACAACAATTGCAGAGTAGTTGTGAAGGAGAGAGAGGTAATTCCATGGGATTACTGAATGTTATAAACCAGATCCATTTATCATCAGAAGTAATTTTCTGAATAATTTTCCTTTTGGGGAGAACAACCCATGATTTCCTTGAGGACATGAGATTTACTGTCCCTGGAAAGCAGTGGGTTGCTCATTGTCTTCAGAATGGATATTTCCAGCTCCCTGAAGGGCATTCTTGTTGCACTTCTCATGGTCATAGTAAAGCATGGCAGGAGTTCTTTTCTGTGTTCTCTCTCTGCAAAGAGAGGGAGCCTAAATTGCATCAATGAATGTTGAACCTATGATTGTTTGAGGCTGGACAGGGAGTTAATTCTGCACCTGGGAAATGTGGTTTCTGTTCTTACAATAAAACTGACTGCTGGGAGAATATTTTTCTTTTGCTGTTTATACTGTGGCAAGAGCTCTCAGAGGCTGCAATTCCCCAGTTTGTCCATGGCTTGCAGTGGCTTTGCAATGCCTTTGTTTCTCATTGTGCAATGAGAAGCCTGCCCTTTTTATTGCTGAAGCACAAGAGTTACTACACTCCAGGATCCTGGTTCTATAATTACCTGCTGTCTATTTATACCTCCCCTGCAAAGACACAGGATACAGGCACAAAAGGCTAACATTACAATGGATTACATCTTACCAATTTTATATATCCTTCAGCATCCAAAATTAAATTTTCTGGCTTCAGGTCTCTGTAGATAATTCCTATTTGATGCAGATAGTCAAAAGCCTCTGTCACACAGCCAACACAAAACTTGGTGGTGAATTCATCAAAGCTGCCTCTGGAGCAAAAATAATCACAAAGTTCTCAAAGTTTCAGGAAATAATCATAAGTTCTGAAAACGCCTCGGTTATTAACCAGATAATATAACACATAATATATTATAACCAGATAATAACCAAACTGAGCCAAACATCTTTTAATTGAATGGAGAACCTCCTCAGTAGCCCCACGGGGCCGACTTTAAAGGGCAACGTTGTGCTGTGTTTGCTGTTACCTGTCTCTCAGCAAGCTCCACAGCTCCCCTCCCAGGCAAGCTTCCAGGAGCATGTACACGTATTTGTTATCCTTGAATGTGCGATACAGCCTGTGGAGACAAACAGAAGCTGTTTAGGAAAAGCAAAATTAAAAGCAAGACTTGCAGCGTTTTTCCTCCAGAACTCACTGTGCCAACTCTCATTCCTGATAGTGCTGCCCCAGGGGTCAGCTAGGGGACAAAATCAAGGAAACCTTATGCTCAACTTACTTTACAACGAATGGAGAACATATCTGCTCGAGGATTTTCTTCTCAGAATAGATATGCTCTTGCTGTTTGGTGTCCACTACGTGTTTCTTCTTTATACATTTCATAGCAAAAGCCATGTTCTCATTTTTAACTTTAACCTGTGAATAAAAATGATGAAAACACATGAGGCAAAGAAAGGATGTTTTACTAAATCGTTCTCAGTAGATACACTGATATCCATATTTTTCAACACAGCACAGGACTGAAATTGATGACTGTAACAAGGGAAAAGTTCCAGATTTTCTGCAGAACTGTTATGTATGATTTTAAGCCATGCATCAGATATTTTAGTTTTCCAGTCCCCACTCGTAAAGTGAAATGTTCCCTCTGTTCATTTTATATATACACCAGCAACTTGGATAGGTACTACATATTACAATGAGTTGATATGACAGTGGGTCCCAATTTCAATTTAAGATTTCTAATCACCACCATGATACAAAAGAACAAAAAGGAGAGAGAGTTTAGGAAAAATGTTTACAAATGATTTTGCATTACACTGAAATATCCAATATGCAATAAAAAGATGGAAGTTAAAACAGGGCTTCTTGGAAATAAAGGAAGCATATATCTGTGTTCTACAGCTAGATGAGAATGTAATTCTTAGCTTAGTATTTAGATGCTGCAGTAGAATTCCAGTGTGGAATTTTTCTTTTTTTGGTGAACCATGAATCAGAATGAAACAGTTGATGATCTAACTACTGTAAAGGATTATTGACTTCACTAAAAGCACAAAGTCTCCTTTGATTTACTACTACCTTCAGCAGCCTGCACAAAAAGCATTCAGGTTTTTGTCAGATGTTTGCAACTCAGCCAGAGGCGAGTGGAATTTAAAGCTTTGGGCTAATGAAGCTCTTGGTATCCCAGAAGTACAGATGTCCATGCTATTGAGTATGACTCAAAAGAGCCATTGCAAATTGCTGGAAATTTCCCAGTGAGCACAGCTCAGAGACAGCTCAGGCTGGCTGGAGTTGCTGTGGGGCACACAGAAGCAGCTCTAACAGCACAGACTGTGTGGTGCCACTCAGATTGCTCCAGGTCCAGGCAGATTCCTGGAAAAAGGCCTGCCATTCAGGGCACATAGTGCAGGCAGGCACGTCTGTAAACTCCACAGGCACAAACTGGTGACTATGTTTGGTGACCAGGAAGGTACTTTTAACAGCAGGAGATGGAGGCACACAAGAATGGATTTGCTTCTTTAAACACCCTAGTCCTGTAATGCTTTTTTTAACTATGCATTGCTTTATGGAGAATTATCTCTGCCTAAGGAACACAAGCACACAGAATACCAAAATCCTTCACATTATGCAGTGGCTAAATCAGTCATCCAAGACAGAGAGCTACATGAATAATTTTAAAACATTCTCTTACAAGCTCAACCCTTCCGAACCCACCAACACCCAGAGTTGTGACAACTTCTAAATTCTGGAATGGAGAAGGAGGGAACTGGGCTACTTTCTCCTTCAGCTCTATCATCTCCAAAGACACCTCTTTGGTCAACTGTCCACAGAAGGATCTTCCTCTGCATTAAGAAAATTAACATAGGTTAGTGCTTTTCCTTGCCATCATTTTCAATGATCCTATATAAAGGAAAGGAAATGGAAAAGGAGGAAAGGGGAAGTGGGAAAGGAGAAGGAGGAAAGGAGAAGGAGGAAAGAAAACTCTTCTTATTTCCTAACAGAATATTAATGGAATCCAGTGGAAGTAAATTAGAAGAAAAACGCTACTGAAATTCACTGAGTAGAATCGGCAGTAACTTTAGCAAGAGCTGATCCCTGGTGAGATTCCTGTTGATTTGGGCAGCTGCAAAAGTTTGGGCACTCCAAGCTGGAGAAACAATTTTTGAAGGACTGTGTACCAGTTCCAGTAGAATGATCAGAAAAAAGAATGCAGCTGTATTTCTAAGCAGAGGAAAAATATCCTCTGCTAACATTCCAGCAGTTCTCAGACTGAAATCAGAGGCGCATGAACTAAAAGCGTGGCCCACAGCTAAAAGCAGACATCAATACCATCAGTGCTACACTGAAACATTAAAAATAAACTGTTTCTTTTATGCCTGCTTCTTTCTTTTTGAAATGACACAATCTTTTGCACAGTAACACAATTTCCTTAACTCGACCAGAATTAAAATTGGCCTTCAGGGGTAAAAACAACATCACTTTTTTTCTGTGCTCAGTTTTCCAGGAATAGAGTGAATTCTTGTTTGGAAGTCAACACCCTGAGATTCTGTCATTTTTGTATCAGAAAAAGTTTGTTGGGCTCCATAAGCATAGCCAGTCTGTTTTATTACAGTGACTGCTGTCATTCCTAGGGGTCCCTCTCCTTCAACTACCATCCATGATTTTACTTGCATGTCTATCACTCTTCTTCATAATTACCTGCTATGGGTGCAACAAACAAATGATCTGACTTACTTTGCATGTCGCTTTTCATCAGCCTGGGCCAGATTAGCCACATAACCTTCCAGGTAAGTTTGCAACTCCTCATAAGTTCCAACTGTTTGATTAAATGTCCTAAAAACACAAATGAAACATCATAAACCACTGAGCTTTTAAGTCATGACCCGGTTGAAGTTGGTTGACACTCAAGGATCACTTCCTCCAGGCTCAAGAAATTATCAAGAAATCTGGCAAAGGGGGCAAGAGAGTTGTGCAGAGAAATAAATTCTTGAAATTACTGAGGCTAAAGGGGGAAGCACACAGGAGATGGAAGCTGGGTCAGGCTACTTGGAATAGTATAGAGAGGTTGTCAGGGTAAATATAAATGAGACAAGGAAAGCTGAGGGCTATCTGGGATTAATCTGGCCAAGGATGTCAAGGACAAGAAGAGAGCTGTCTTCAAACACATCAGTAACAAGAGAAAAACAAAGGATAATGTGGACCCATTACTGAGAGGACCAGGGACTCTGGTGACAGGGAAGGCAGAGTTACTGAATGCCCTCTTTGCCTTGGTCTCCCCTGACAAGAACAGGCCTTAGGAACCTCGGGGATCAGGGTAAACATCACCACTACAAGGAGAAAAAGAGAAGAGTAACTCTGAACTACTCTGCAGCATCTGTGCTCTGGCACCTGCTGTCAGCCTCTCTTCATGAGCACTCCTAAAGCACATCCACTCCTTCAGGATTCATTTAAGGAAACATTGTGGTATTGCCTGCAGTGAGGTCACATTAAGGCACTGAAAGCCACGTTAACCTGCAGAAAGAGGATGCCAGTCCAGTCTGAAAGTGTCATGCACTTACTCTCTGTCTATAACGAGGCACTCCACGTTGTACTCGTCTGCAATGACGTTTGCTGATCTGACGTCGTCACTGAGAAGTGAAAGGCAATGGGAGAATTCAGAATATATCAAAATCCTCAGAGTACCTCATACTGCACTCGTGAAGGGTCACAGCTGCCCTAGGTAAAACCCCTCAAAGGCCTCAAAGCCTGTCCCTGCATTAGTGCTGCTGAGCCAAATACAAAATTTAGCTTTCTGTTAGTCATTATTATTGTCTTTTCCATTTTTTTCCAGTTTCAGTAGGGTTTGGATCATGACATCCTTTAGCAATCTTCCAAGAAATTGGGGCCAGATGTTATTATCACTACATCAGGATTTTCTCTTCTTTCTAAAATGATCCTTGGATATAAAACATCCCCAAACCCAAGCAATTCTCTACTCAATCACACATATAAATATGTACTGTGTGACTCCTTCTCTCTGTTTCTTACTGCCATGGGCAATGGGAACAAGAGCTCATTCCAGTCATGATGGACCTTATCCATTCTGAAATCACCTGGCACAAGTTCTCACCACAGTTTTTACTGAAGTATTAACAATAAGCCACAATGCAAAGGGACAGAATTTGACTTCTACAGTGAAAACCAAAGGTAGATGCCAGTGTAAACTTTCAAGCTTTCTGCAACCCCTCAAAACATTAACACAAATTTGGTCACTACCTACATGTACTGTCTTTACAATTAAAAGAAAGATTATATTCAAAACAGCCATGAGTTGTAGAATCTGACACACAATGGTGGGACTATTGAAATCCTAAACATCACAAATCAGACTGTGTGGACTAACCTGATGAGAGCCTTTTCTCCAAAGTAATCTCCTTTGTGCAGATTTTTGATCACCTGGGGCTGTGAGTGGTCTGTAGTGCTCTGGGTAACTATCACCTGTGAAGTACAGGAGCAAAAATTTAGTAAAGTAAAATTTCAAAGTATTGCATGATTTTTCTTTTCTGTATATTTCAGAAATGTCTTAAACTTAGTAATGCTGTGGAAAGAATTACAGATGTAATTCCTCTCAAAAATTACCACCAAAAATTCCCTGATCCCTCTCTGATTTTTGCTGGGAAGAAGGAATATATTTACTACTGGCAACCCCTCAGCATTTTCTCCTCATACCTTTGGAAACAGAGCAGAATAAGTCACATTTTAATGAAAGACTGAAAAATACTTCAGTTCCCACAGCGGGCAGATGTCATATGAGCTTTTTCTCTTCTCAGCTGAATAGGCAGCACTCCAGAAGCTTTAACTAACATTTCCCCTCATGAAACTGCTTCCACAGGAGCACACTCTCCTGATGGCCATGTTAGCAAAACTCAAACGAGAATATCTACAGACATGGAGATGTTCTGGAAACTGGAAGTTTATTGAGGAAAAGTCTCCTGAATTAATTCTTTAGAGTCCTGTGTCAGCCTCCAAGGTATCAGCTGAGGGATAAAGGCTGCTGCCTTGCTCCTCTGGGACTAACAAATGAAAGGATTCTGGGGCACCTCAAAAGCCATTCTCCATTAAGCCTGGGACTCCATCACTTCTTAGATTTTTCACAATTCTGTGTATTTCCCATCAGATATTGCACAATCTAGGAGAAGATGCAGGGTCACATCTCATTTACAAAAAAATTACCTTTACATCTCCACCACAGTGTCAAGAGGCTTCAGGACACAATTTAATTACATTTTAATTAGAACAGGATAACCTGGGTTCACTGTGAATGGAAAATTAGGCTCTCTGAACCTCTGCAATGCTGCTCCAGGCTTTTATCATGGTATTGTGAACTTAAAAACAGGTGCAAAAACACTCTGCACCATTTTTTACTGAAGACCACACTCCTCAAGATAGCTTTTGAGACACAACTGCTTGTACACATTACTTTACAAATAAGGTTTGTTACACCTTACCTTTCCTTTTGCTATTATAAAGAAGGTGTTTCCTTCTTCTCCTTCCCGAATCACGTAATCTCCCTTGTCATAATACTCCTGGTGGGGGGCAAGTGGGAGACAATATTGTCCAATAAATCTTTGAAAGGTTTCTTTGCAGAGCTCTTAACACATGTGGATGTTTCATTGATGTTTAACTTCCTATATCCTTCATGCCTCCGTGCAAAAAGAATAAAGGGTTACCACTGCCCTTGGAAAGAAATCCCAGCTATGGTTATATATCAAGCCTCTACCTTCAAAGGCTGTTGGTAAATGCAGCCCTAAGGCACACAGATATTTGGTTGGAATCATGTGCTGGGAACCCAATGCCTTCCTCCCTTACATTTTGCAGGGTATGTGGTCCAAGGAATATGAAAGTATTACATATCCACATGACAAAGAGGTAAATTTGATTACCAAAAGAGTCCTGGAGAACAACTTTGTACTTAATCTTAATAAAGGATAGATTACAAATCCTCTCAACTACTTGCTTGACTCCTTTGATGCCAAAAATATAACTTCTATGTCACTAAATGTTATTATTTTCTGGCAACCTGGAATTCAACTCCAATCACTCCAAAACCACTCTCATATTAAAAAAAGCTTGTTTGTTTTTTTATTTTTGCTGATTTATTCTCCTTTGTCGTTTTGGAAGCTTACTGAATACTATTTAGAAAAACTTAACAGTATCTTACCACTTCCAGACAGTCCATGATCTTGGTTAATTTATCTTCAGGTAAGTTTTTCAGCAGGGACACACTTCAGAAAACAAACAAACAAAAAAGCCCCACAACCCAAAGTAATTATCATTAACAATTTTTTAATGATCTCTTCTCGTATCTACAATTTTTACAGCCACATTTTATAACTAGCTAAACTAGTGGTGAACACAGTATACAACTAAATCTTAATTTGGAAGGTTTAAGCATTCTCATCCTGGTTTTTAGATAAACAAAACTCTCACAATTTAGAAATGCAGCAAATATTGTTCAGTTTGTAAATCAGCTTTGTATTTCAGGAGAGGAAGGACTTTAATGGGCGTAAGGATTGATTTCAAAAGAATCCAGCAATTACAAACCTAAGACATTTTAGCAATTCAATAATATATTTTCAAGTGCACTGCAGAGACTGCAAAATCAAAGATAAAAACTTCGGTACTCTTTGGACAGCCATTGAAAGATTATCTAATTACAATAAAAACTTTGTGAACTTGCTGGTAAGAACGAAAAAATCTCCCAACCCAATCACTCAGACTTGTAAAATTTAGGAAATTATAGAAATTTTTATCTGTTTAGGCTCAGCAAAGAATTGTGTATAGAAATCAAGGGTGGAGAGGGATGTGAAAATACACAACATCCTATGCATGGCCAGGCTTGGCATCTTGATTTGAAAGCATAACAGAATGGTCATTCTGTGTTAAAAAGATAAAATATTACATCAGCTAATTATGGTTTGGAACTCTAATTTCCCCCTCTCCCTAATGAGAAGCATGGCACCACTCTCAGTGTTCCCTGCAGGAGAGAATTACTCTGCTCTGCAGATTTCCTAGTAATTTATGTTAGAATTAGTTAATAAGTTGAGAGACATGCAGATCTCATATTCAAATCTCCAAAGGATAAGGAATATTCCTTAATCTACTCCAGCAGCAAACTAACTACTTATTGGAGGATTTTCTTAACTTTACTTATTATATTGTTTCAAATTCTAGACCTGTAAGTTTCCTATACATTTATACTACTACTTAAAGGCTTTCAAGCACCTATTGAAGTTTTCTAGTGTGATGCAGGAGAAAAAAAATTAAAAATGGAAAAACTCTTATGAATCTTAAAAGAAAATAAAAGAAGACAAATGTTCAGGCTTTGAAGGCCATACTTGCAAGAAGAGCACCTTTTTCTCTCTATTTACAAGACAGGCACAGTATTGCTGTGCACCTTAGTCAATAGCACAAAGCAGTATCAGAAATAAAAATTCATCATATTTACCTTCTAAGGAAGTTTCTGTATTGCTCTTGTCTGGTTTGTGCTGTTACTCTCATGATATTTTGAAACACTTCTCTGTCCAGTGCCCATGTTTTAACATTAGTGATTGCTTTGAGAAAACAAAAAAAGACCAAAATCAGCAATCTTTCCAAATTATTTGATGGATGATATTACAGCATCAGCTCATGGTAGAAGACAGACTAGCTATTTCTCAAAGCCCAAGGCTGAATTTTAAAATATCCAGCACCTATTGTAATCAGACTTTCAAAAGAATAAATTCCCACTTAAACAATGCTCACTAAAGTAAGGAATAGATTTCTAAATGGTTCCTCTACAGAGTGATTTAAATGTAATTCCATAGGCTGAGCAACCTTGAAAATGACAGGGCTGAACACTTGGGAAAATCTACTCTAATCATGGACTCAAAAGCTGTAAAATGCAAAGAAGCTGATTTGAAAGAAACAAGAACGTGGTTGGTTTCCCAAAACCTATGATGTCAAATACTGTGGCTTGGATCTAACTCTAATTCAGATTATATGCAAATGCTTGTGAGATTTGCACTAATATAGAAGTATCAGAGGTCAAGAAATACAATTAATTTCATTTAATCCTGTGATCCTCACCTACTTTTCCTCCAAACCATATAAGGGAATAATCAAAATATTAATGATGCATTTTCAAAAGATAATCAAATTATTCATACAGTAAGCAGGCACAGGATTCAGCATCAAAGGTACAAACCACTAAGCAGCCTCTGAGTGCAATCATCAACACAACAGAACACTTAATTTTTAAGTAAAAGGTGATTCTATTAAATTTAATCTCTTCTTTTAAAAGATGCTACACCATATCCAGTAGTTTTCGCTCTGCCCTAAGAAAGAACAAAACTGTGTTTTCTGTGAGATAAAATTTACTGAAAAATTTAGGGCAATTGATTCCCTCCATCATCAACATAGAATCATTTTTACAAGGAACAAAAATGCCAGGTTTAAAATGACGCACAGTCATGTCTCATTGCACACAATATACATATATGCTCTGCTATCTATCAGAATAGATCAAAAAATATTTTTGGAGAACAAAGGTGCTATTTTGGTTTTATTTCTCTCCTAGATAACATCTTTCAGTTTACTTTGCATGAAGAAAACACGGCAAGTATCCAGCCTATTGCAAATGTATTCCCTGTATCTTGCACCTTAACTAAATGAAGCAGTTATAGAGTTAGAAAAACGCCTGCAATCTCAAATATGAGATTAAAGAAAAAAAATTGAGAAATTCAGAAACATAGGGGTAAATCACATTGCCAGTTTCAAATACAGCTACTGCCTGTGAAGATGCTGCTGAGCAGCAGAAGCCACTGAAATGCTGTTTGGATGAAATCCTTCACTTGTGAGGTTTGCAGGGAAAGGGAGTCAGGAGATGCAGCATCAGGAAAGGGTTTTCACATGTGTGTTTGCTACTCATGCTCAGTTTTGGAACTGGACATTGTACTGCTCTTCCTCCACAAGGAAGACAGGAAAAGCTACTGGGGAGGGGTGGATTTCTGCAGTGATTGCAAGTATTCAAATGTCTTTTCTTCTCCATAATTGGACAATTGTTGTCCTACCTCAAAACCAATTAATGCTAATAAAGGCCTAAAGCAGCTTGACATCTTATTATGCAGAAACACTACTTTATAATGCTAATACTATACAGGAGGCAAAAAAGAAAAATAGGGAACATATTCAATTAGAACAGCATGTTAGTAAGAAAAATAATCACATTACTGATGTTGTTCTGTTTATCAGGCAGCAACAAAAACAGATTACATGTAATAACTTCCATCTGCATAGCCAGCAATGATTAAGTGCCTAAACTGTGTGCAGGAAGAAAGACCAAAAGCTTTTATAGCAAACAACTTCTTGTTTTATTCCATTTGCTCCTTTTTAAGTCAACATGAACTCTTCATACTTACTGGAGGCACCAAGTCCCTGCAGATTTAGACAAGAACAGAAATTAGTCTTCAAACATAAGTATTATTTATGGAATAGTGGAGAGTGGAAAAATTATGAACTTAAACATATTTAGTCACTTACTTGTTTGTCACAGAGCAATTATGTTGGAAAGGGAATCAGGGGGTATTTAATGGATGTAAACCCAGTCTTATGCAGGAAGAGGAATATTTGTATCAGAGCAATACTTAATAACTCCATCCTGGTCAGTCCCCAGACTGCCAGCTACAAATGGATCTAAGCAAGACTCAGCAACATAATGATGATACAGAGCTAAAAGGAGCACAAAACCAACTAATTCCTCAGTATTTTATTTCCTCTTGGTTTAGACTGTACCCATGTACCCTACTAAAAACACCATGGTTCTAAAACGTTTTCAAACTCACTGTAATTTCATCCTTGGCACTGAATTTGACACAAGAACAAGAACCAGAGACCACCACCTCTAAAGCATCCAAAATTAAAACACAATCCTGCCCTAGTTGTTAGTGTGCTACAGATCAGGCTAACCAGCACAATTTGGAGGTGCCTAATTGTTTATCAAGAGTTATGCCAGAGATGGAATTACATTCAGGGCGTAGTATTATTCAAGCTCCCAAGCAGAAAGAACTCCAGGAAGAAATATGTGAGTTTACTGTAGATAACCAAGACATGCAAACATCTATTAAATGAAAACTTCAAAGAAAACCTGGATATAACAGGGAACTCACAAAAAATCCACAGTTTGCATTTAGAGCAAGGTTGCTGTATTTAACCTCGGGTACCTTTCACAGAAGCTGTCCGTGTGCAGTTGTATAAAATGGCCAGTTCACCAAATGCTGTCCACACAGGTATTGAGGAGAGTAGTTTATTCTGCTGAAAGACTTCCAGACTGCCCTCTGTCAAAAATCATCAGGATAATAGGTATTCAACCTGTGCTCAGCTGCACAGACTGAATGGAAAAAAAATCAATACATTTCTGATTTTGCCACTACGTGGAACACAGGAATGGGACTAAAAATGCAAAAAAGTGCTTTGAAACACATGTACAAACCAGTAAAGATTTATTTTTTAAAATGTACTGCTAATCTCCTGATATGCTCTGGAAGGGAGGACCATTCTAAATCCTGATGGGATAAACCTTTGCTATAACAAACCACTCATTTGTGATTCAGGTACTCTAGTGTGGTCTAAAAAAAAAAGTCTTGAAATAATGAACACAGGAGAAATTACTCCTAGTTTATCACTTCATACAGATTTATGAATTTTATGATTATATGCATACATATATGCAGAATGCAAAGGAGAGGGCAGAAAAATTAAAAGCACATTAAATCTTCATTCAAGAAGTTGTTCTTGAGACTTACTAGCAAAAGGCAAAGAAAGTCTGAACTTCTTCACAGTTAATGGCCCCAAAAATCCTTCCCTGAACATGTTATGAAAGTTCTACCCTCTTCTCTCCAAGGCGCACACCATGTCCTCAAGAAAGGTTCCAATGTGCCAGAAAAAGTTTCAGGTGCACATCCCCTTTCTGGTATTTAATCTGTTTTCAAAGTGGTATCACTTTGTCTTGCAAGAATACGACCACACCATCACAAATCCTTCCTCCTCTTTTTTCCTGCAACATTTCTGTTTTCCTAACACAGTTACTATAATTTTTTCCCACTTAACCCATCCATATGAAGCCAGAAAATGAGCTTTCCAACATATACCATTTTCCTCCTGTTTAAATATTCCCACCTCAATAGAACATGCTCCTTATAGTGTGAACTCTAATTCATATGAGGCTCTGGGACTTTTAGTGGTTCCCAATTGATGAAATATGCAAATTAATCACTTTCTTTTTTTTAATGGTGAAATGATGATAGAGCTTATTGCTGCTAGGAGCAAATTCCAAGTGTTAAACTACAGCTGATCAGCAATTTGAGGCACAGTAGCAGTCAGCATAAAATATTGCACACTTGTTGGCCTTATTTTAGGAAAGTCTTCTTATCCTAAAGCTTTTTGTTTGCTTTGCTGTTTTTTGGGTTTTTTTCCCAGAAAAAAACAAGCAGGTATTTTTTTTTAAAAAGAGTAACCTCAGTTTTGAGAACAATGAATGCAGACCTCGTCCTTCAATTTCCCATACACAGAAAGCTGGTATCTTATGAATGTTGAAAAGTAAGTTTATTTCAGGAGTGGCTTCACCATTGAGCAGTTCTCTGCATTTTAAATAATACCTGTTCTTCCTCTGGAGAAGAAAGGGTTGGCTACACCTACAACAGAAAGGAATTGTTGACCTTGGAGCTTTCAGAAATGAAAAAGGTCAGGAAAAAACATTAAATCAAGACTTCCAAGATGCTTTTTATTGCTCTCACTCTGTTTCATAAAAGTCACAGGTAAAACTTGCATTGCCCTCCACAGGGACAATTTATTTAGGAGCACAAACACCCTCACTGTGATTTCCTGCAAAACCTTCTAAACCCCTTTCCTGTTTCTTGCACTTGTGAGTTGTACAAGTAGGCAAAATTCACCTTTGAGCACAAAAATGTGATTTCCCGGTTCTCCCTGTCTGATGACGTAGCTCCCTTGCTGGAATGTCCTCTCGTACATGCATTCCACCATGTCTCGTGTCTGGTGAGGCTCCAGCCTCTTCAGGAACTGGTTTTTATTCAGGGCATCTGTGATAAGCTTCTTCTCACTGGTTGCAAACAAAAAAAGACACAAAGTTTGAGATGCCCAGCATGGCTGGGGTTTGTTATTCACCAAGCATTCATTCCTCTCAGGAGGACTCCTCTCATTTCTAACACACTGCTCTGCCTGCCTTGTTTAGACCTTGTGGGATGGTAGCCTGGTTAGTGAGGGAATTGTCTGTGCTGTAATCACCTGGTGGAACAATCTCATTGTACAATGTTGTTCTCACTGCTGCCTCAGACAGTCCCTGCATCATTTCCTCTTGTAGCAAATGCATATAAATGAGACACTTGTGAAGACAAGAACTGTCTGTATCTGAGCTGCTGGTGGCAGAGCCCAGTGGCTGGATTTTAAGAAGGAGAAAACATGGAAAAAAAATAACAATGGGTGAATCTGTGGATAATGGCTAACCAGCTGAAACAAAGCAGGCCGTACGTGCATTCTGGCAACTTTTGGGTTCTGATTGATTTGAGTATCTTCTAGCTCAAGGGTATCCTGTAAAGCAGTGCCTCAAACACCAGAAATGAACACAATTAAACAACTTCTGCACTGATGGGCTTTTATGGCCCTGCTGGTTAGTTTTCTTTTACTGCTGAAGTGGAAGATAAATTCCGTCTTCAAGTCCCCATGCTCCTAATGTCGACAAAGTCAAAACCCTGAAGGATTTCTGAGGCATTTAAGGCCTCCTCTTGTTTGTATTCATAAAGCAATGGGAGGTTGTCATCAAAACTAGGTTATGTGGGAAAAATCTCCTGAGGACAATCCAGGAATGAACAAACCTAGGGCACGTAAATACACTTACATTGTTACTGGCCCCTTAATGACTGAAAATAAGTAAAGGTGATGAGATGAGGCAGGAAAATAAAACCAAGTAGCTATGGTGAGGACTGTGTTTAGAAATAGGGATCATAACTTACCTTCTGCTGAAAGCAACAGGGTTATTGGAATATAAGCTCTAACTTAGTTTTCATCTAAAACCAGCCTTGCTAATTTGATTCATCCTGGCCTGCATCATGTATACAATACCACAATAAAATACAGTAATTGCATATAACCCAATACGTACAATTGCATATACCCAATATAACCCCAAAATGAGCACAAAAGCTTCCAGAACTATAGAAGAGGAGACCACGCTTCTAAAACTTCCATTAAAATCATTCTTGCTGAGATACTCCAAACAAAAGTATGGCACTCTAACCCCTGCCATACGAATAGCATCAAATTGTGCCATTTGTTTCACAAATACTCCTAAAAAGGACTGGTGACACTGTGGAATCAATGCAAATTCAAGAAGCATGGAGCTTCCCCTCCTTCTGAGACAGCTCCTTTCACAGCTGTGCAGCAGCACTGTAAAGTTTCCTGACACAGCAGTGGGGCTGCATTCAGTCCTTTCTCTGTAGAGGGGAGGCAGCTACTGACAGCAGCCACTCCAAACACCCCTGTAGACACTGTCAGGCTAAAGACTCTGTATTTGCTAATTACAGCAGGCAGAATTCTGTAGACAGTGAAGGTTAAACTTAGTTCTTATGTGTCTGAACTTCCTGAACTTGACCTACTACAGTATTTACAGACCAGGTAAGGAAACCAAACGTTTGTGCCTTTCATCATTTGGCTGTCTCAATGGCAAGGTGATGGTGTCTTACAGAAGCGCATGTGTATCACAGGCTTATCTAACCTAGAGGCATAGCAGTGCACAGCAGTACAGCTTTATGGTGCTTCTTTTGGCATATGTTTGTTTCCAAAATATTTGGAAGATCAAATAATACTTTGACCACTATGACATCAAAAAATGATGTGCATTATGTTTGGATTGCTTAAGCTGCAATACTTGCTTTGGCTCTGACTGCTGCACTTTGCTAGTCCACTGGGTCTTCTGCTGGCTTTACTCCTTACTGTTGTTACAATTCTGTCTCTGAAAGCAACCTAGAAAACCACGTGGTGGACTGCAGTACAAGGATCGTGCCAAGGAGAAGACAGGTTACAAACAGAACACTCTTAAAACTATGATTTAAGCTACCCAGGCAATTGTGATAAAATATTAATGCAGTTCCCTTACTCTGGAAAAACACTGCTAGCTGAAGTTCTCAGCTCTTTGTGGTGACTCAGGCAGCCTTTCTGATTCATGAGGCACCCTCTAAGGTGCAGTGCTGGACATGATGGATGAGAAAACATGCCTCATAACTCCAAGGTCTACGATGGTAAAGACTCAGATATGCCATGAATAATAAAGCTCCCCACGAATCTGAAGGCACTAAAGTCACTGGCTGAAGTCCAGGTAGAGTCTGGCTACCACCATGTTAAACAGACTCTCAGGTTATGTCTACACTGCAAGGTAAAGGAGAGTCTGAGTTATGCAGAAGGATACCAGTCTGATACCTCTGTCTGCAAGGTCAGCTCTGACCACAGAGATTTCTGGGTCTGTCAGAGTCCAGAAAGTGTAATTGAATTCAAAGAGGAGCAAGAAATACTCAGTTCCTACAGCATGATTGTTAGAAGGTGGAGGGAAGGAGGGAGCTGGCAATAAAGGTAAATCCCCAAAAACCTGTGAGATTCTCAACTGAAATACAGAGGCTCCCCACCACTCTTATCTGAAGTCTGTGGGACACAGATGATTCTTGGTTAAAGTTACCCACAAACTCATCCAGCATCTATCACAGCTGCAAAGCCTACATGAAAAAGATAAATACTTTAATCCTGACTTATCATGAGGAGAGGATATAATTGTGATAAAAGTAATAACCTTGTAACACAAACATAGAAGCCCTCTGAGAGCAGCTCACCTGGAATCCTTTCGGACCATTGCTTTTTCAAGGGAAAACATAGTTTGCCTTCTCAAATCACAGAGTCGTGTTGTTGGCTCTGCAGATACACCTTCCTTGGCTCCTCTCCTCCTATCAGCAGAAACTTTAAACGGAGAAGGCTGAAGAGAGAGCTCTCCTTGAGTGCTAACAACATCCTGCAGCTTGTTCAACTGTATACACTTGCTCTGCAGCTCCTTGGTGAGTTCTGCTATGACCTTAGTCTGCATAGCCAGCCGTTCCTGAAGCTCAGCAACATGGCTTTGACTCTCTTGCAGCTGCTGATCTTTTCTCTTCAGCTCCTTTTCCAGTTCAAGTACCTTGCTGCAGAGGACATCAGCTTGCCCATTGATCACATTGATGCCTAGGCATGGGTCCATCAGAAACTTGTGGCTGGCAGCACAGCCGATAGCAAGGCTTGCCACGTGCCTGTTTGGCTGCCTCAGGTGCTTGGGTTTCACTAATCCATTCCCCATTTTGTCCAGAGACCTGAGGGGGGAAAATAAATTTGCAGTTTTATTTCATTCCCGAAGAAAAAAAGTCATGGAATGTTGAGCAGTGAATTTAGTAATTAGCTGGCAGCTGAATTTGCCATATGCGACTGTAGTAAACACAGCTGATTGCTTTCATCCTCTCCAGTCCTGCAAGTCAGCAGGGTAAAGGGCAATGAGGAGAAATAGGGAGGGGTGATACAAACAAAGCAAAAGATCTTATGGCTACTACTTCATTTTTGTGAGTTGAAGAGACGTGCAAACTCCTTTCAGCCTAACACAGACAAAACAAACAGCAGGAAGGAGAAAAGCTTGTGCTTGACTGCTAAAGCAAGAAAATGGTTAGAAGCCAAAAATAAAAGTTGGGTCACTTCCCCATCGAGGAATAATTATTGTGTACATAGATTAATTTAGCCAGTGGGTACATACCTGCCTGGCATAAAGGATATGTGATTAGTAAGTATATGCACATATAACACACAGGCAGCTGGCATCATTTCTGCAGCTCACTCATCTAAAACTGGATCGTATTTGTTAGTGTAACAGCTGCTACTGCTATCAAGGAACAATTATCTTTTTATGAGGAATTAGCCCCTTCCATTTGGCTACTCATGAGAAGTGACCAGGAGAAAGAAAGGTCTTGGGCTCCTGTCAGAACACACCCATGCCTCAGACAAGCACTTGTTGCAACCAGCAGCCTTCAGCAGATTTGCAGTGACCCACCTCCTTCCTTGGACACAATCTTTGGCATGTTTCATGGATCATTTTAGGAGGAGCAAGGAATCATGCTGCTGTTGTGGTCAGGCATCAGCAGGCCCAAAGCTGCCTGCTTGTCTGCCCCACGGATGAAGGACACTTTTTTCAGGCTGAACCCCCAGCGATGCAGATCAAGATAATCTCTTTTACCATTTTATTGGAACTGGATAAGAACATGGCCCTGACAAGGTACGTTGATCAGATGACAAGAAATAAACTGAGAGGCTCCGGCAATTTGCTTTTACTTGTTAGTATAACCATACTTTTAACAGATGCAGAGTTCTGTTCTGGTTTACAGCCTTCAATGGGTCAGAACTGAAACAGCTGACAATGTACCTCACATTCCAAATCTGGTTTTATTTAAAATAGTCTTTCTTCTCAGCTCTGTCTTGCTTTATTGTGACTTTGAGTAATATTTTTCATTTGTGCCAATTTCACAGATGCATTTTGACAGCTGGTGCTTCAGCCTGTTAACAGGGACACCTCAGTATGCCAGAAATTAAGGCAAATCTGTACTACACAGGAGAATTTAAACAAATTGCACATCAGGGTACCGAACCAAAGAACTCTGAAGAGGGACCTGTGTGTCACCGCACAGGGCTTAACCAAAGATCTTAGCTCAGCACGCAGCCATATTTAAAAACAAACCCAAACAACAATCAAATAAAAGTTACAGTATAGAGAGGAGATTATGGGAAACACATCATCACACTGTAGCAGTGTCTCTGCTACTGAAAGTAGTTACAGTCACTGCATGTCAAATAAAGGATATCCCATACACTTTAAAATGATTTATGGCAGAGTGACTGCCCCAGGGCACAGAAAAACCTACTGTTTGGATTGTATCCAGAAACAGAACAGGTTTACTGTGCGATGTCTGAGGTTCATAATCTATCAACCTCACTGGAGTGACAATGTTAGCAGCTTCTGTCTACCCATTGTTAATAGTCAGTGGACAATGGAACAAGCAGTCGGATCTGACAGATCCCTGCTTCCACATGGTGCCCTTTACTGGCCACTAGTGTCGGAAACTCACCTATGTGGCAGGAATCAATGAAAGGACTGACAGGTGATTCTGGTAATTCAGCATTACAGTAGCCAATTCTAACAGAAAACTTAAATCCTTGCTGCTCGGAGCTCTGACCAGCCTTACCCACAGCTCAGGAGACAAAAGGCACAGCAGGGCATTCACTGCTATGCTTGCTACAGGGCACTGCACACGCTCGTTCGGGGCCGCTGGACCGACGGGGCAAACCCCAAACCCACCCGGGAGAGACGGAGGTACCCGCGGTGGGATGCTCGGGACATGCTCGGGAGATGCTACGGGGGATGCTCCCGGGATGCTCGGGGAATGCACCGGGGATGCTCGGGGAATGCTCCCGGGATCCCGCGCCAGCCGAACCCGGGTCCGCCGCAGGCCCGCAGGGTGCGGGCACTGCCGGGCCAGCACCCCCGCCCTCCGGAACCCGGTACCGCCCCGGGAGGCCGCGGCTCCCCCGTGCCCGCCCGCCCGGAGCCGCGGGCTGCCCTCACCTGCGTGCCCGGCCGGCCGAGGCAGGGACAGAGCGCTGCTCCCGGGGCCGGGCTGGGCACAGACCCGCTCCCGCTGCCCGGCAGGGGCGGGAGAGGGGCGGCCGTGCTCGCCCGGCCCTCCCTCGCTCCGTCCCTCCCTCCCGTGTCCCTCTGTCCCTCCCTCCATCCCTCTCCCGGCGGTGCGGGGGTTGTGCCCGCCGGGCAGGGCTGGGAGCTGCCACTGCCGTGTCCCGCCGTGTGTCCAGCGTGTCCGGAGGCTGCCCCCGAGCCGGGCTCCCCAACACACCCACCTGGCAGACAGGTAAACGCAGGGCCCAGCTCAGGTCGGGCCGTGTCCACAAGTGTTTGTCCTGTTGGCTTTCCGTGGGTGGGTCTTGGCGTGGCTGTCGGGCACACAGCTGCAGAGATCATTGTGCCCTCGAATTGACCCTCAAACGCCTGAATCATGATTTTAAAGAGTTAGGATTTTAGCTAAGGGTTAGAAGCAATTCATATTGGTCAGGGTGCAAGTTAGATAAACAAACGATAGGTTAACGATTATTAGATGCTTAAGTTAGAGATAATAAAGATATTGTTTCCAATTATGAGCTTGTGTTCAGATTTTGTTTATAGGAAGAGATGGAGTAAGTGAACCGTTGTAAGAACAGATTGAAGCCAGTAGGATAATGGCTAACACCTGGACTTTATACCAATCCATCACAAAGCAGGGGATGTTGGATTGTGCCAGAGGGTCACGGAGACCTGATGAAGACTTTCCTTACTTCATCTTTCAGGACCACTGACCCAATTCGAGAGAAGAATTGTGCCCGTGTGATGGGCTATTAGGCTCATTGTAATACAGAACAAGGATGTGAGGTGCTGGGGTTATGCATGTGTATGGAATTTAAAACTTTGGGAAACATATAAAGGGCAAAGAACCTTGTACAGGGCTGCCAGGTCTCTAGAGGGTTACCCTTGTGCAGCCCACTGATGCCTTAATAAACATTTAGTAAACGTTCCACTTTGTAACTTTAACTAGTTAGAGAGTCTTTGTCTGTGAACATAATATTGGTTTTAATGATTCACACTGCTGCACAGTCCTGCAAGGAGCTTGCCCATGTCCTGGGATGTACCTTCACTCTGGCTTGCCCCAGAATGGAGCATTGCCTATTTTCAACATTGACTCTTGGCAGAGTCCAGGTTTCACAAGGGCTGTTCTCTCCTAGCACGTCTCTACATGCCGATTCAAAACATTTGCCTCCAAGGGTTGTTTACCCAAACAGCCTGACAAATCAGGGATGAAAGGATTTTACAAAAGGCAAAGAGCTGCATGCATACCTCTCTTATGGATGCTGTCAAGAAGACTTGGTCTAACGCCAACCTGTAGCCTCTAGGACACTGGCTGTCCAATTTTCTTCTCCACAATTACCCTCTCCTTTTGGCACTGCCTGCTTATAAATCTTCCTTTGGTTCCAACAGACCTCAGTGTTCAGTTCATTGCAGTCCGTGTCAGGGATTAAGCAGCTCACATAAATTCTAACAGATCCTGCCCCCAAAAGAAGAAATTATAAATAAATGCTGGTCACATACATTTCACTACTCAACAACCTCAAACCAGAAATGTTACAGTGCTCAGCGAAGCATGTGATGAGAAAACTTGTCCCAGCAACCCCTCACACTCTGCAAGTGATGCACTCTGCTGGGATGCAACAACTGACTCAGAATCTCTGAGGAAGTCTGTCAGCACCCTCTTCTCCTGCTGCAAAGCTCCTAAGAAATGCAGCCAGGAATCCAGAGACTGCTCCCTATTTGTGGTACACCAGGGTTGTGTGGGGTCTTGCTCTTTGCTGGTAAAGTGGAAAAGGTAATGGGTACAGCCGGGAGTGCACCTTCCAGGAGCCTTTGGAGATCAGCATTCCAGACCTGAAAGGACTGAGGTCAGCTGCAGGGCACTGTCTGCAGAGCCTCATACCTGTGTGGGCAGGTCCAGCCGTTACACCTCTTCTAAAAATTCCCAGATATATTTCAGAGCTTTTTTATCCCTCCAAAATTTGTTTCAGAGTAGCAGTTATGTTTGGGTAAAATTAGGGATGCTTTGGTCAAGCTAGATTAGAACTTCATTGATACAAGTTAGCTTGAAAATTTGGAAAGCTTGCAAGTTATTTTGGTGTTATTGTGAAAGAAAAAGCTGTGCAATCATATCACACAATGCCTATATCCTATAATAACCGCTGTCCTATCTGCAAACTGCAGGGGCAGCAGTAAACCTGTGAAGCACAACAGGGGTGGCCTGTTGTTAATCCTTTCCATTTGTACTGCTGTCTTAGAGAGAAATAGATGAGACATTTATTGCCACGAAGTATTGAGGAGCAGGGGCTTGAAAATGTGGGGATTTAGATTGTACCTTTCTGCTGATTTCATGTTTTGTAGCAGAATAAAATTAAGGGTATTAAGTGTTGCTTTGTTTTTTGTTTTTTTGTTTTATTTAGGTAGAAATCAAACATGGATTGGAAAATAGCAGTGCTCCTGGTTCTTTTATGCCTTGTGAAATATTTCTTTATTTTAAGAATTTTGCTTTTAATTTTGTGACTAGCCTGTTGAATCATCTAGGAGATGGACCTCAACCTGAAACACAACACAGTCTCATTTGCCCACTGTATTTCCAGAAAGAGTGTTTTGTTTGGGGTTGATCCCTTCTTCCCTTCCACCTCAAATAAAAATTTTTTTTATTGTGGGTGCGGGGTTGTTCTTGTGGTTTTGGCTCATATAGTGACATAATTAAAAACCAAACAATCAGAAGAAACATTGTTTGAAACCTAAATCACATCAGTTATGTAAGCTCCACTGCTGTCAGACAAAAAAAAAAAGTGTGTTTTTTTTCTAAAATGTATAAACAGCAAAAGTTTTATCTGTCACCCAGCATCCCTGTCTGCACAGAACTGTAAATAAATACCTCAGGTCTGTGAATTGGACTCTTGCACACTGGGTTAGAGAACCATTTTTGGGACAACATCCTTGGTGAGTGGGGGTGCTGCAGTCCTGGCTTGAGGCTGGGATCACAACAGTGGTTGTTCAGAAGGCAGCAGATA